TTTTATTGTTTGTTTAAACTGTTACATTGAGTATTTATATTTATTTACATTTTCTCCCCTTCGAGTTGTGTTCGAGTTGAAGAATAAAGTTGTGTTCTTGCTGAATCGCTCTCCGACTACTTTGTTAAGCGAGCGACTTAACACAAACATCTGCTAGTCTGACTTTAAATTTATAGTATTTGTAGTTTCACAACCAAATGTGTCTTGAACTACTTACAAATCCAAATGGATATATTTTTTATATAACATCAATTATATAGCATCCAAAGTTGCCCCGTAGGGTTATAAAGCGACATGAAAGTCTTGAAGACGGCGTGAACATACTAACTGTAATCAACAAATTGAAAACAATAGAATTGTACACAGGGGTCATTTCCTGTGGGAGCGCACAGGAGCGGAGCGCCGGCAGTAAGAAGCCTATGCAACAAGCCCTGCTCCCTGCTCTCAGCAGCCCTCAGTCAGAGCAAGAAGCAGCCAGGTAAGTTGCAGAGCCCCCCCGGCCTGCCTTCAGGTAAAAGCTCTCCCTCCTCTGTGAGGGCAGATCTGCACGTTCCCCCCTCCCCATATCTAGTAATCCAAAACAGTCCAGTGGCACCTTTCAAACCAAGTTTTATTCAGGCACAAGCTCTCCCTCCTCTGTGAGGGCAGATCTGCACGTCGTCCCCCCTCCCATAGCTAGCAATCCAAAACAGTCCAGTGGAGCCTGAGTGGTGGGTGTTACCTTCTGACACACTTCCGGTGATGTCAGGGGGTGTGGCATATGCAAATAAGTTATGCTAATAAGTTATGCTAATGAGTTCCTGCACCTCTTTTTCTACAAAATGACCCCTGATTGTACATATTCAGTTTTGATGCTGTAAGACCTGTAGAAGGCATCAGAAATGAGGTTACACCAGTTCTCAGAGTCTTGTAGTTTCCTTATGTTCTTGCCGTCTTCAAGATTTCAGGGACGCTTTATAAACTTGCGAGGCCTGCACACAATACTCCAGGTGCAGCCTGACCAATGCAGTATACAGCAAGACTATGGCATCTTGTGATTAGCGTGCTATACCTCTGCTGATACACCCCAAGACTTTTTGTTGTTCAGTCATATAGTCGAGTATGAGTCTCTGTGACCCCGTGGACCACGTCACGCCAGGCCCTCCGGAGTCTGCTTAATTTCATGTTCGTTGCATCGGTGACACTGTCTAACCAACTCATCCTTTGCCGTCCCCATCTTCTTTGACCTCCGATCTTCCCCAGCATCAGGGTCTTCTCCAGTGAGTGCTCCCTTCTCATTTTTTGGCCAAAGTATTTCAGCTTCAGCTTCAGTATCTGGCCTTCCATGGAACAGTTAGGGTTGATTTCTTTGAGGACTGACTGATTTTATCTCCTTGCAGTCCAAGGGACTCTTAAGGGTCTTCTCCAGCACCACAGTCAAAAGACAGCAAAAGACCCCAAGAGTGCATTAGCCTTTTTTGCTGCTGCATCACACTGACTGCTCCTATTTAGCTTACAGTCCATCCATACCCCAAGATCTTGTCCATACATACTGCTACCCAGAAGTGTATCCCCCCATCCAGTATGAAAAGATGGCTTTCTGCCAAACTGGCTCTCCTTGAGTGATTAAGGTGGGCATATGGAGGACAGCATTACTGAGTCCATTTCCCAAATGGCTGAAGAGCTACAGTGCAACACCCATTCTTTCCACCATGTAGACAAACCTGGTAAGTCATTCCGTGTTGTCAGCCATCATGCCATGCAGAGGGAGAAAGAGAAAGGCAAAGCTTCTGTTTGGACAAACAAGAGTTAATCCGTATTGGCAGGGCTATTTTTTGGGCAGGAACGCACAGGAATGGAGTTCCGGCTGGCTTCAGAGTTGGCCACGGCCACTACAGCCAAAACCTCTGCGTGCGTGGCTACAGAGAGAAGGCCTTACTTCCATGTATCTGGGGCTTTTTTCCCTTTCAAGACTTCATTAAATACTACCTGCATTTTGGGTGTTATTATCTCTATCATTTCTTTGTAGAATTCACTTGTGAATCCATCTAGCCCTGGTGATTTGCCTTTTTTTAGTTCTTTTATTACTTCTCTTATTTCCTGGGTTGTAATTTCACCCTCTAGTGCATCTTTCCCTTCTTTCTCCAATGGAAGACTGATTGTCTCCTGAGACTCTACTGTGGCCTTTTTCTTGTATAAGTTTTTATAAAAGTTCTCAAAAGCCTTAGTAATTTCCTTGGGACTTTGTGTTGTGTTATTGTTAATTTTTATAGATTTAACCGTCTGTTTTGCTTTTTTAATCTTCAAGTAGTTTGCCCGTCTTTTTGCTGTGTTGATGCTGTTCCTCTGGAAATCATTCCTTACCATAGTTTCCCTTTTCCACATTGTTGCTATGTCTAGTGCTTCTAATTGTTTTTGAATCTCTTTGATTTTGCTCTGTAAAGTGGGGCTATAGTTTTCCATTACTTCCCTTTGTAGCTTCTCTAATTCCTTCATGTTGTTTTGTCTTTTTTTATACCATTCTCTTTTTATGTTCTTTTCTTTTGTATGCAATGGCCCCTTATTACTGCTTTAGCGGCATCCCATAGTATATTGATAGGCACCATTCCTCTGTTTTCCTTGAAGTATAATTTTATCTGTGATGTCATATATTCCCTGTCCTCTTCTTTTGCCATTATTAAATTATTATATCTCCAAGGTCTGTTTGTTGTGGGTAAATTTAATTCCAATTCAATACCAGGGGCATGGTCAGATATCCAAATTGGAAGAGTTGTAATCTCTTTTATGTACATATTATTATTTTTTCCCAAAATTATATAATCTATGCGTGACGCCGTTTTATGCCTGCTGGATATATGCGTAGGGCTAGGTCTTGTTCCTGTAAACTCATACACTTCTTTCAGGCCCCAGTCTCCTAGCTTAAAATTTTTATTCTTTGATATATCAAAATTCAGATCCCTGGATACAATTAATGCTCCCTCTGTGAACTGTTGAATCTTCTTAAAGACCTTAGAAATTTCTTTTGCTTTTTGTTTGGTGCATAAACATTCGCTATAGTAATTCGCTTGCCTTCCAGTTTGAACTTGACCAATAGGTATCTGCCCTCCTTGTCTGCTAACCTTTCGATATCCTCAACTTTAAAGTTCTTATGGATCAAGGTTGCTACACCCCTGGCCTTAGAATTCCCTCTTGCTTCTGCTAAGACCTGCCACTTCGGGTCTTTTATTAATGGTTTTCTATCTTCTTTTTTTGTGTGTGTTTCCTGCGGCAGTAGTTGAACCAGTTTCCTAGTCCAGACAGTGGTTGCCCTGGAGACAATGGGCGCTGTGACTGAATCTTTGATTGCCATGGCAATAACTTTATGTGCCTTTTTCAGGGCAGTTTCTATTCTCTTGTCAAAGTTGTCTCTGACTGACCCCTGGCCATCTTCAAATAGTAAGCCAAAAAAATGAAGGGCAGCGACAGGAGCATCTGCTAGGGGAACCTGTAAAATCTCATTTGCAAAGGATGGTAATGCATAAATTTTTTAAACAAAATTTGGAAATTGGCAAGTAGCCATTGGCTTAGCCTATTCTGCCTTAAGATGTCGTTCAAAAAATTAAGGGAGTGGGAAATCTGGGAAAGAATTCTTTGTTCCCGCCGGGTCTAGCTTTTGACTTTGGCTTGGGGGGGGAGGGGTGTCATCATCTCTTGGGGTGACTCTTGAAGCTCTAGTGCTGATAAGGTCTTAGATAGTAAATACTGGTAATCCTCTGGCTAAAAAAGGCACACAGAGTGCTCTGGCACACTAAGTTCTTGTTTATCATCTGTTAAAAATTCCTCCTCTTCCCTCTGTTTTGTTTCGTTATCTGAAGACTTGGACCCCCTCCCAGGGAAGCTTCCTACTTCTCTTTATATCAAATGATTGTTTCTGGGCTGTTTTGGTTGGCCACTGACAACCTTGTTGTGAGTAGTAGCATGCTGCCCGGGAGTGAGGGGAGGGAGAGGAGGAATCAGACTGGGCGGGCCCCATAGGAACCTATGTCTTCATTGTGGCAAAAATTAAACATCTCCTTTCTCATAGCTTGTCTGAACACATAACTTCTGGGGAAACGCTCAGTATCCTGGGGTTGGGTACTTTACCCATTCGGAGAGAAGTGTCTGACTGGATTGCTGAGTCTTGTCTGAAGGAGACAGCTCTGCTCCCATTTCTCCTGCCCGGAGGTTGGCTTGGGCTTCCCTGAGATTGGTACAGGGGCTGAGAGCTTGCATGGTATCTCCACCCACCAAACTGGTTGGTTCAAAAAGGCCACTGCTCATAGCTGAAGAGCAGGAGCGGGGCATCAACTCTGAGGTTGAGGAGGTAGCACTTTTTTGCACGCTTTTGAGATGCTGTTGTGGTCAGGTTCTCACCGGTAGCTCATGCAAGCTGATTGCTCGGCATGCTGGCTCCTGAATGATCATGCCGAACAGCGATGGCTGCAAGTGATACTGCCGTCTCTCCTTCAGAGAGGAATCCATCTGGAGACTCCTTGGAAGCCATCAGATTGATAGTTGCTGCGTCTGTTTTTAAAAGTGGCCAAAATGGCTGCCAGCCACAAGGCATGGAGTCTTCTATGACCGACTAGGCTTTTGTAGAAAGGGGAGAAGAGGTGGAGAGTTAGTTTAGAAGAAGGAAGGAGTAGGTAAGAAAGAGGATTAAGTCATTGGAAGAAAAGAAGTGAGGAAGAGGTGAGACGAAACCTAATGAAATTAAATAGGAGGCTGAGCCTGCTATAGAGCTGCTCTCCCTGTTGAAGCAGAAACAAAACTGAGATATCCTCCTTTCCTCAGAGGAGAAGGACTCTTCATGGTGAGTATCCAAAGGTCTTTAATCACTCTCTGTGTGAAGAAGTACTTCCTTTTGTCCATCCTGAATCTATTGCCTATCAGCTTCATTGGATATACTCGAGTTCTAGTACTTTGGGCAAGGAAGAAAAAATTATCTTTGTCAATTCTCTCAACCCCATGTGTCATTTCATATTTTTATTATTATTTTTCAGCTCTTAAGAGATCCTTTGAAGTTGAGGAAGTAGATCAGCCACCAAATTCTTCCACTCCTCAAAGACGGACACCCAATCCTCTTGTTAGGTCTGCAGTATCCAGCTCTACACAGAAATTCCAGGATCTTGGCACCAGGAATTCTGAGACCCCTTCTAGACATGTGGAGTCTCCTGCACCGAGGTCGCCCAAATCCTCTCTGAGGAGAGTTGACCTTTCTGGACCAAAACATCCTGAGCCAGTGTCCAGAAGAGCAGAAATTTCCATTGATATTTCATCTAAGCAAGTAGAGAACTCCACATCAGTACCATCAAGATTTGGCCTCAAGAGAGCAGATGTATTGGGGCATAAGGCTGCTGAGATTGCTACGAGAAGGACTGAGATCAATATAGGCAAACCCCAGGATCAAGCTCTTCGCAGAATGGAGGTTCCCTCAAAGATTCCTGAGCCGACACAACGGAGAGTTGAAACTAATAGCCCACCTGTGCTAGATGTTGCCACCAAACGTGTGGAAAGCCAGGTACCAAAATCTTCAGAGGCTCCAGTACCACCGGTTAGACAGATTGAAAACGTGGAGATTTTCCAGAACAGTCAGCACCTGCCACCAGAACCAAAGTTTCAGTCAGCAGTGGCTGAGATTCCACCCAAAAGCCAAGAAGGTAAGCAAAATTGGGACTGATATTTTAAATTGCAGTACTTTGCCTGTGTATAAATGTGCCTGTGTTTGTATTTCCCTCTAGTGGCTGTTTTGTCATAAGAGTTACAGTCAGTTGCTGTTTTTTAAATCGTTAATGTTCATGTGTACTTTTTCACAGCTCGAATTATGTTTGTTCAGTATTGGTGAATTTGGGGTCTAATTTGTCCATGTGTATTACATGAACAGCTCATAAGTATGCCTTTGTTTTAGTTGGAGTGCTAGCTCAAGTTCTCTCTGGAGTTTTGTAGAGTGAATTCTACATTATGTGCCACTGTTTGTGCCATTTATGGATATCATAAGCTGAAATATTGGCTAAGTTTAGACACTGTACTCCTTTAATGTTAGAACAGTTTCACTTAGGCCACTCTCGTGAATGTTAATATTCCCATTTTAGATTTGTAGGGTACATTGCCTATGCACAATTAATGTATTGGCATGTATCGAATTGTGCAGTTAGTACTGAATGAAAAGGAAGGATGGATGGTGATTACTGCAGACCCCATATTCTGTCATTGATTATATTCCGAAGGGTCCGCTGACCCCAGGAACAAAATGGGTGGGGAGGGGGCTAAGTTGGCTACAGTGGAAGGGGGAAACAGGAAAGTCCCAGTCTGTGGATAGCTGGATACACCTCACTGTATGTTTGTTGAGTGAGACAGACCTGCCTTATGGGAAAATGGCACTGAAGCAAAGTGTAATTACAGCTGATCTCCATAGCATTGCGACCTGTGAGGAAGCTGACAAACCCAAACTTATCTTCCTTTTTGCAGTCCTACCTGGGACAGTGAAGGAGGCCTTCATGCGCTACATTTGACTTTGTGAACCTGAAGAACTGGATAAAATTTAGTGGTGAAAATTTAGTGGTGAAAATTCCCTAGCTCAGACTGTGTTCGTGTCTATCTGGCTGCTGGGGACAGAATCTTTAAAGTAGTTAAAGTGAGACCCAGTTTGGTGTAGCAGTTAAGTGCATGGACTCTAATCTGGGAGAACTGGGTTTGATTCCCCACTCCTCCACTTGCAGCTGCTGGATGACCTTGGGCAAGCCATAGTTCTGTCTGAGCTGTCCTTGAAAGAGCAGTTCTCTCAGAGCTCTCTCAGCCCCCCCTACCTCACAGGGTGTCTGTTGTGGGGAGGGGAAGGGAAAGGAGTTTGTAAGCCGCTCTGAGACTCCGAGTGAAGGGTGGGGTATAAATCCCATCTCTTCTTCTTCTAGTGTAAATATCTATGGTATTGTTTGACTTGATACATTTAATATGAGCACTTTGTGTGGTTCCAAATTATCTATGGTTTACCTTGTTTGGATTCCTTGTAGAGAGATCCTCTGTCTGAAAAAAAACTAAAGAGCCATGGATGTCCTTAGATTGTCGTATTCATTTAAACGTGTGTTTATTCATTTTTCACAACTATTGTAGTAGTCACGTGTAATACTGTTTAACAGTTTTGTATTGTTAGTGGGTAACACCATTGCACTCAACTTTAATAATGCAATATTATTAATCTAAATAATTTCCTGGAATGAAACTGACATTGGAATTCCCTGTCCTTTTCTCAAGTTGTTCTGGTTTCCTTTGATAAGGGATAAAGGATGTCTGGCTGAGCCAAGTAAAACAAGGTATGTTTGATAGAAATTTGGTGCACCCTGCCCAATCCTGTCCACAACACCTTGTTTAGGAACGACTGCTCAGATTAACTTGGAGTTCCCTGACTTGTTGTTCAAGGCTGCTGCTTTTGGGATTAAAAATGTGAAAGAAAAACCAGTCTGTCCTTATGCGGAGATATATATTTATATATATCTAGAGAGATAGACTGAGAGAGTTGTCAAGTCACAGCTGACTTATGGTGACTCTGTAGGGCTTTCAAGGCAAGAGACATTTAGAAGTGGTTTGCCACTGCCTGCCTTATGGTCACAATCCTGGAATTCCTTGGAGATTTCCCACCCTAATAGTAGCCAGAGCTGACCCTGCTTAGCTTCCGAAATCTGATGAGATCAGGCTAGCCTGGGAAAGCATGGACAGAATTCTGCGCTGGCTTTGCAAAGCTTGCAGCATTTTTTGCATCTTGAATGGGAGCCTCCAGGGCTGAATTTAGATGAAGAGAGGCCCTAGGCTACTCCACTTGTGAGGCCCCTCCCAATCCCCCACCCTCACGACTAGAAGAAAATGGAAGAGTGTTATAAACAAAACTGAGTGAAGCCAAGGATGATGACGGGTATTTAAAATTCTGCAATTCACAATTTCTCCTCTAAAGGACATAAGATGTTATTGTTAAATACCATAGTGATTGAAAAAAATGCATAAATGTTAAAATTAACACTGGAAAACTTTTGCGATAACCGAACTTCGTAAACCTTTTGTGGAATAAGTATTAATTTTTAGGAAAATGAAGTTGTAATATTATTCTTTAAAAAAACCCTTGAGTTTACAAATTATATTGCCTGGGAAGTGTAAATAATATCATCATGATTATCTGACAATATGGCACTTTTAGAATCTACTTTATGTTGTCTTTAAACAGTCAGTTTTAAAACACATATTAAGAAGTAAGCTACAGCCATCAAATACAGTAAGACTTAAAAATGTTTTTTCCTAGCCTTCCTCATAGCAAAATTGTTTGTCTGAGTTTGTCACTTTCAATGTACAGAATGCTCAATGTGGACAACCTCTCTTGAGACATCATGGCCCTTAATTCTTTTGAGTCTTGAAAAACTCCTCTCTCGAGCAGTTAGTGACCATAAAGCTAAGAAATAGCCGCAAGATTGCTTCCACATTAGGAAAGGCCATCTGAATTTTTTTCCTTGTATATAATTTGATAAAGGTCTGTATGAGACAGAGGGTGCTCTTCTGTAAGCCTATGGCTTTGTCTCACTTATTGGTGAAAATGCAAAAGTTCATCAATACGTTTCAAGTCAATATCTTTTGGGTATGCTTCCATCAACAGTTCAACACCTTGCTGAATTTCTTGCTTACATGCTGTCAGATTAGCAAGAATATAAAACAATTGTGCAACATCACTGTACACAGTACTTCTTCTTTTTAAATTGGCTTCAAGTGCATCTAATATAGGAATAAAGAATTTTATCCTAAACGTATCTCTTGAAGAAAGTGCATCTAAGGCATCAGGTGCACTTCTGTCATTTCTTTGCCGTTCCCTTACTCTTTGTCTCCTTGTTTTGTAGTTAACATTTGGCAAGGTGGCTTTTGCTTGTTTTTCAAGCTCATCAAAATCTTCTCTAATTTTCCTTTTAAAATCCAGAAGTGAACTGTACAAACTTGCACAAGAACTCAATAACAGGTCTGATTTCTGAAGGGCTTTGCTGACCTTGTGAAAATGTCCTAGCACAGGGGTCCAAAAAATACAGCATAAACACAAATAAATCCACAGCTGAACGGTCCACCAGATTTAAAGAGTAACCTGCGCATGGAATAAATCTTGCAAATTGTTTTTTTCAATGATTTTTTGCTGCATACCATTGTACTTAGCAGCCATATTGGCAGCGTTGTCATAAGACTGCCCGCGACATTTTCTAAAGTAAATTTCAAGCTCAGTCATGAAATAGTTGAACACTAAATCAGCCATGCTTTCTTCTGAGTGGTCTTTTAGCTAAAGGAAAGTTAAAAATCTCTCAGTTGGCAAACCATCTTCAGGTGATACATATCTGATAATTAAAGTCAACTGATCAGTATGTGAAATGTCAGGAGTGGAATCTACTGAAAAGCTGAAATATCAAGCCTTTCTCACATCAGCCAGAATTGCATCCTTAACTTTTTTTTTTTGCCATGAGTTGAATAATTTCCTCACATATAGTTTTTGACAAATAAGAGGGATTGCCTGATCTAGAATGTCCATACCGATTGATATGAGCAAGTAAAAATGGATCAAATTTTGCCACTAGTTCTAAAAGACTAAGACAATTGCCATTATTTGGAGATCCAAAGTGTTCATTGTCTCCTCTGAATGGTAAGCCTCGTTCTACAAGAGTGCATATGACAGCAATAATTCTCTCCATGACATGCCGCCAGTACTGCTGTTCTGCTTTTATTTGTTCCTCTAGCTTGGAAGTTAACGTTTGTCCTCGCTTCCTTGTTAGGTAGGCCAACATGACATTCCTATGCTTCTCTGAGTTTTCGTGAGTTTGGATAAGATGTGGGTTTTGCAAGTCATCAAACCCTTCAGTAGCTAAAGCTGTGGAAGAAGATGCAAGGTTTGGAAAGAGTTCACAAACAAAGCAATTATCTGCATCTGCATCTGGAACACCTTGGACTTGGCCTATCTTACCAGGTGTGAACTGCAAAATCTGACTATTTACATTATTTTCTTGTGGCTCTTTAGCCTCTCCCTGTCCAGTAAGTGACTCTTGAATTAGTTCTATATTTTCAGTTTGAGCCAGCATCATGGCTGCTTCCTCATAATCAGCTTGCTGTTTCACATCCTGCTTCGCTGTTTGTCTTTCAGGGAGGTTTTTGTCTGGTTGCATGCTAGTAGTTGGCTCAGGCTGGATAGCTTCACTGCTGGCTCTTGTTGCTTCAATGAGTGGTTGATGCAGGAAAGCAGTGATTGGTCTTAACTTCATTACCATAGCATTTTCAAGTCTCTGTCTCCTGCGCTTGCTAGCACCCCTTTCAAAACTTTTACTCATGCTTACATTAGAATCTAAAAATAAAAAGTAACATTAATCTTCAACTGGATAAACACATGGATCAGAGGTCTATCAGTGGCTATTGGCACAAGGTATAGATAGTTGCTGCTGAAGGGTTACACATGGGGGCCCCCCCAGAGGATCCTCTTCTGGGGCCTGCCGGCAGCCATCATCACCACCATATTCATGCCCCCTCAATGCAGTAGCTGTGCTTTGGCCCATGGGTAGTTTCTTCCACACATCAGGGGCCTAGTCCTGCCTTCAAACACGCAACTCGGCAGGCAGGCATGCCTTCCCCATGGAACGCCTGGTGGCCTTCAACCATA